TTTTTGCAGCCCGGAGGACCGGGCTGCTCTATACATATAAGTTTAAGTGTTAGTATATGGGGATTGAGGTGGGAGAAGTTATTCAGAATGAAAGATTTTCTAAACATTAAAAAGATCGTTAATCAGAATGTTCTTTTCCTTCACAAATTAAGAGATACACAATATATTTACTTCCGTAAAGTGAATCTGAAAAAATATATATCTTTTTCATATTCAATATATAAAGTTGCATATCATGTACTAGCGAAAAAAAAACGACAGGTCTCTTTTTTTAGAACGTCAAATTTTACTTATCGCATGAAAACGTAATCTACACAGTTCTTGTTTTAAATTGTTAAAGTGAAATACATACTAGTATTTGAAAATAGGTGATGCATGTGTCTGATTTCAATTTATATTTTAGGTTGTTCAAAGTTAATTCTACGTTTAACGTCACATCTAAAGTTTAAAAACTACGAGGGAGGGAGGAAAAAAATAAACAAAATTTTCAAACAATTGTGAATTTATTGAAATTAACCTATTCAGTACATTAAAAACATTACAATTAAGAAATATGAGCATTTAAGTGATATGACACCTAAGATTACTTTCCCTAGCAGAGTTTTTCCTTATTATGTAAATCAGTTTGAGTCCTATTGTTAGCAAACAATGTAGTCTAAGACTGAATGTGCAGGAAAGTGGCTTTTAACTAGGCCTCAGTTGTCCTTTGGATTTATATTGCCACCTATCCATGGTACCCTGGAGGCAAATGCTTCTTCTTGTGGGAATAGTTGCTCAATATCTACAATTAAAATTATTGATGACAATATTTAAAACTGTTCATGTTGAAATATCCTCAAATTGAATTATGTCATATTTTTTCTTAGTACTAGATCTACTAGCATGAAGTTAATTTTGAAAGTGTGAATACTAATATCTGGACCATACTGATAGCTGTTAGATTATCTTTAATACCTTAAATTCCACACAAAAGACAGGATTCTTTGTGCTCACGTCTTGGAATACCCCAACCACTATCCTTACTCTCCTTCACTTGAAAGGCCCTATCTTCGGTAAGCTTCTCCCTGCTAAAATGGTTATGACAAGTATTATCTTTTCCAAAAATTGTAGCTATTTGAATTATGATGAAAATTTCTTCAAGAAATCAATTACTTTACTCATTACTGTTCCTTTCGATTTTTACAGAAATATTTTTAATATGAAACATATTAAATAAGATTAAAATGATGCTTTTCACTGTATATAAATCTTGCTTTTTGAAACACTTTCCACTCAGTAAAAAAGTTTTTCGATTCTCTCCAAAATACAATGAAAAGTTCAGCCAATAGAATCACGAACTGAGAGTCTTTCACTGTCAGTCTGTACATGTGATTCGAAGACTGACAAAAAATCAACAAACTAGACAATGTCATTAACTTCAATCATAAAATCATCTATTTTTTACTTACATTTATGGTCCCAAACTCTTTAATTCACTAGTTTTCTTTAATAAGACACCAACTGCCTTTACTGCGGCTATCAATTTATCAAAGCACATTTTCTGTCACTACGGGAAGCAGAATTCAGTCGCTAACGGACATACGGAATCCCGAATTGTTTGTTTTTTCAAAGACGAATTTCTCATATATCTACGCGCGCGGGTGACGTTAAACATAGTTTTAATTTTAAACAGCCTTATGCAGCCAACATTTACTCAAGGAATTGATAAAGTTTAAGATGGTATCGTTTTTGTTCGATTTTCATCCGACTATAAGTTCAAAGTTCAAAATATTCTCAACTATAGTCTCCATCATTTGGACGCATGCCTTTTTCACACATGTCGAAGCGGTTTGATGATCAAGACATTTCCATTGTTTACTTTATTTATTTCCCGGGCAACAATTGATGGTTACATCAATGTTTTCATGTTCTGTATTGTTTTATGGACTTTGAGATTGAATACTGTTCGTTATTTCTATATCTTTCATTGTCTTCTACGATAATTTATCTACACAACCATATATGGCATGCATGTCTTGGTTTTCATTTAGCTTCGTAAACGGCGTCAAAACTCTGCCCATCAAGTGGAAAGTCGAACTCAACCATGAAACGGTATGTGCTAATCCCGCACGAATATTTTGATTGGTTAGAAATGTGTATCTAAAATTATATGGAAAAAAAGTCGTAGTGTTTTTATGAAAAATGAGACGTAGTCAAATTTTATTTATTCAGTGCATTATTTTAATTCTGGAATATGAATTTTTAAATCACCCATTTTTTATATTTTGCTATAGACCGTTTCACGGTAACTGCGGAACTGCTCTTCTGCAGGGCAAAATGATATAGTTTGGTGAAATATGACGTAAAAGTAATTGTTTAAAATACGTCATTTAATTATCTATCAACAAAAACTTCACCAAACGTTATTATTTTCCCTGCAAAAGTGTAGTACCGCAGTTATCGTGAAGGGCTAATTAGCCCGAGATTAGCACATACCGTTTCGTGGTTGAGTTCGATTTTCCAACTCGGAACCGGGCTAGGAGGCGCTCAGCCCCCCCCTTTTTTTTTAAATTGACCTTTTTTAGGCTTTGAAAATTAGAATTGACCTTTTTCTTGTTGGTTTAACCCCCCCCCCACTTTCAATTTGCTTCTGATGCCCATGCATGAATGTGTAAAACGTACGTTATAATAACTCTTTCCCCCTTCAACACCCTTTGAAAAATACTTCACCCCCCTTTGAAATATTTCTAGATCAGCGCCTGATATTTATTATTGTTCAACGCCATTGAATACTATTATGTAAAAATAGGCCTTTAATCAAATTAAACATTTTCAGTTTCAAAAAAAGGTTAAAAGACAGAGTATCTATAATACTCACTTAGTTAATATATGCTAGTTGCAAATGGTCTTATATTGAAATTAAAATGAAAAATATTATCAGTCTAAAGGCTAAAAGATATTTCTTATACGTGTTGCAGCAGAGGAGAAATCGAAAAACAAGCAAAAAATCAAGGATAGGAAGAAATAGAAGTGTTCCTCTGTAAAATGTGTTTTATTTTGCCATCTATTTTAAGGATATCCGATCCTCAGCCAGGAAGGATAACACAAAAATTAATATTTAATTTGAAATGCATCAAAATAAGGCTTGAAATTGAAATTTTTCCATGCAACAATTTTCATTTTATTTATCTTTATAAGATTAAGGGTTTTTGGAAGTCTTAGAAAAGGTCTTATAGAAATTGACATTTGTACCCTATAGAAGGAAGAAAAATTAATACAGTTTTAGCATTTTAGAGAAATAAGATTTTCTTGAATCCAGCCTTAGATACCAATGCTTATTAACATAATATGAAATAAGGAGTGATCTGTGGTGTCTTGCAATGATAGCAAAAGCCTTTAAAACTATGTATTATAGAATACGTGATGGATATGTAACAGTGACAATTTATTGCCTCTGCTGGGGATCGAACCCGGGATCTCTGGCTTGCCAGTCCAGTGCTCTATCGATTAAGCTAAAGGGTTAACCCACTAGCCCAAGCTAGTAGGATGCCGTTTATCTAACACTACCACATTGTTCCCCTCCAGAGAATGAGATGTTCTCATCTCTTCGGAGTGCCGACACCTGTGGAGTGAGGTTCTGGGGGCAATCACTTTCACTGCCAGAGAACACCTGGGTCCCACCGTGGGCGCCAAATGTATCAGAGACAATTTATTGCCTCTGCTGGGGATCGAACCCGGGATCTCTGACTTGCCAGTCAAGTGCTCTACCGATTGAACTAAAGGGTTAACCCACTAGCCCAAGCTAGTAGGATGCCGTTTATCTAACACTACCACAGATATAGAAGACAAAATGTACCAAATAAGTATAAAAATCATGACAATTTCTCTAAATGCCTGGATACCTATTGTTTTTTAACCTAAAATATATTTGTTGATCAATTTGCAATTAGAAAATGCATTGCTGATATTCCAATTCACTTTTTCTGCAAAAATATTGGAGATTTGACAATTCTCCCTATATAATATGATTAACTTTAATCGTTAACTTAAAAGAAATACTGTGGATAAATTTACATAAATTTATGGATTCAGAGATACTTTTATGAGTATTTTTGATTACTTAACTGCTGATTTGATAAACCTGAGGATCGGACTACCTTAATGAAAGTACATTATTCAGATAGTCTTACCATTCCGACAAGAATGCTTCTCTGAAAAAAAGAATATGCTTGTGGTGAATTTGGCGGGAAATCAAAAAAAACTTTTTAAATACATAACTGAAACTCGTAATAATAACAATTAATTAATGTGTCCAAAATCCTTCCTCTTTTCTGGGTATACAGTTTCCCCTTTTTATGTTTTGTTTAACTATTGCTTAATTTTTATTTTCCTACGTTTTGTTTTATTTTTGGAGTGTAAAAAGCGTTTTATTTCGCCATTTATTCTAATTATAGCCAACTAATAAAATAAATGTAATGCTTCCCTCATTTAGATAATGAAAGTACATATTCATACAGTCTTACCTATCGGACAATTATGCAACGGTGGTGGATCCAAGAAATAACCTGAAAAACAATATCCTTGTGTTGATTTTAAAGTTCCCGTAAGAATTTGTAGGATTTTGTCTATTTGATTTTATTCGAAAAGAATTTTTTTAAGAATCGTGTTGTAAAATCATATTTTACATATATACAGAAAGGCAAAAGAAACGCAATAAGCATCGATCTATAAATTTGAATACAGTGAGGTAAAACTCGATCTAAAAGCATCACAGATTTAATCTCACCCGAAGTGTACTCTTTGATATGATCGGGTTAAAAAGAAAAATCTGTTCACAGTATGAAAATAATGGTCTTTAAGTAATCTTCCAAATACTTTCAGTGATGAGAAAAAAGAAATTGTTTCACAATATGCAAAGTGGTTGATTGGTCATATCTCACCGTTTCTTTCCATCTGTCCCCGTAATCAAGCTAATAAAATTAAGTGCTCTAGTTTTCTTAGTGAAAAAAAATCATACAACTCTAACCTGTTGACGAATCAGACGATGGTAGACCCAAGACATTATCTGTAAAAACAAAAATCCTTATGGTGTAATTTTAGTGTAAATTTATTCACGAGAAAATCAGAAACATTCTTTTACATTGCACAAAGTTGACTTAAATGATTCAAAAAATAATCTAATTCGTGTTTAATATCTTGCTCTCGAGTAAGATTGTAAACTTGAATTTCAACAATTAACCTCTCCACACCCTCTTCCTTATTTATTTCAGAGCATTTCTCAGCTTGTATGAGAATTTTTGAATATTTAATATTTGAAAATTTGGGTTGAAGGATGGGAATGAAACTCTTTTTCAAAGTTTTGAAATAACGACAAATTCCTGCATGATATTTTAAATATTTTTTCATTAGTTTATATTTCTGAAATTGCCTAAATATTTAATTCCAATGACTTTGATTTCGTTGAACGAGACAGCTGGTCTGTTAAAAGTGCATAAGGTACGATTTCAGGGAAATCTTGGGGTCAGGGTAAAATGCAAGCTAAGCATCCGTTGGCATGTTACACCTGCAGTGAGCTCTTTGCAATGATTCAGATATACGGAGTACTTCGTAGTCAAATTTGGGAAAAAACATTTATCTAAAATATGTTATCAAACATATCAGACAAAAAGGATATCCAACACAAGGATGAATTTGGCCAATTAACAACTAAATTGCATGACAAAAGAGATGACAGTGTTTCCATCGTCAACTTGCCTTATTTATCTAGTAATATTCTGCTATAACCTACATATAACATGTGTATGTCTTTCACTCATTCGCTACTGATGAGCATGCTCCGAGTAAGATCAAAATTTTTAACTGAGGCAGGCTACACACATGTAAATTGATGTTACAGCGATTTCAACAGCCTATTTAATTCCAGCATCTTGTAAACTCTATAAATGTGAGAAGGACCTATCACTGTTTTGTATTTTAGGTGACTTGTTTCAAATAAAATGTCATGTCTTATCTAAAATTTGTAGTATTTAACTACGGGATGCTCCGTCTACTTGTTCAGTACATAAGATTCATGGCAGGTGTGACCGGTTAACAGGAGACGCTTATCTGTCTTAGACACCTGATCCCATGGCCAACTCTGCAATTTCCAGAGATACATGCTTTTGTATTGTTTGTAGTTTATATGAAATCAATAACTGTACGTAAATTTCAATCACCCAACCTAATTACACAAAAGATTATTCTATCAATTCGCAAAAAGCTATGGCAAGTCCTTTTACAATTTATTCGTGAAATAAAAAAAAATCTTTCAATAAGAGAGATCTCTTTTTAGCATAGAGATAACTCTTTGACTAATATAGGTATCTTTATACCTCAGAGAGATATCTCTTTAAACAACAGACATTTTTTTGTAAGAGAGAAATATCTTTTACTTAGAGATATATCTTTAAAAGCTAGAGAAATATCCTTATAAGCTAGTGAGATACCTCTTTAAGCGAGAGAGAATTTTCTTCAAGCGAGAGAGAATTCTCTTCAACTATGTTAAAAGAGATATTTTTCTTGTAAGAGAGATATCTCTTCAGATTTTCAAAAAGCGGTGTCTTTCTAAGGTAAAGATTTCTCTTAATGAAAGAGAACTCTCTATTCCAGTTATCCTTGAATAAAATAATTAACTCTCCCCTCTCAAAGGAAAGCGAAACAAGAAGTAAAGTCTCTGGAATAATTTCGCTGTTATGAGAAAAAAGACTGAGCATGTCATATCCAGAATGATATATGCACTATGTAGACAAACATGCTATAAGTCCCTTGTTTGAAACAGCAAATAATAATGGCAATTAACTTCGTTGATAAGCCTGGTAAAAGTTTAATATTCAGGAAAACGAAAGTAAGCATAAAATCTCAAACGCAATAAACCAAATTTTCTCAGCTTATGAAGTAATCAACTATTACTAGTTTGAAATCAAGACAACACTGAATTACTTATCATGTTTAGTAAAGCTATAATGTAGAATATCACGAATATGTCGAATTTTCAAAATACTTTAATGTACTTCCGTGATTAAAAATTTTACTTCCGGTAAAGGGAGAAGTTATTAAAAATGCAATTTGAATAATAATAAGAGAGATATATTTTTGCAATAAATATACAGATATCTCTTTTCGCTTGAGGGATATCTCTTTTGGACACTTTTAAAAGATATCTCTTTCACTTTGAGAGATATCTCTATAACTTGGAAAGATGTCTCCCAAAGTAAAAGAGATATATGTCAAGGAGAAAGAGATATCTGTTTAAGTGGAAGAGATATCTCACTAAGTGAAAGAAATATCTCTCTACGTTAAAGAGATATCTTTTTCTCATAGAGATATCTCTCAAAAATAAGAGATATATCTCTTTAAGTTGTAAGATATCTCTATTTTTTAAATTTGAAAATAGATTTTATTTTCCGAATAAATAGCAAAAGGGCTTGTCATAAAAAGCTGACTTAATCTTTTTCTTTTCAATCTTCAGACTAATTTTGTCCTCCGGAAAGCTTCAATTAGTGCTATAAATATTCATAATAATCATTACATATTTACCAACATGTTCAGCATTTGCTGTACATAGATCTACTCTTACTGGTATAGTTAATTTACGTTATAGGTATGGATATTCTTATTTAAATATTTTTTCTAGTGAAAATTTCTTACCTCCCATGTCTATGGAAGAAGAAGGAGGCCACTCCGATCTTTGGGATGTTGGCCATAAACTTCCTGTAAGAATTTGTAGGATGTATACTTATTTGATTTTCAAGTCGAAAAGTAATTACTTTTATTAAAATATGTCGTAAAATCATATTTTTCATCTTTTATATTATTATATGTTATAGAAAATATTTTTAGTGAAAATTTCTTACCTCCAATGTCTATTGAAGAAGAAGGAGGCCACTCCGATCTTTGGGATGTTGGCCATAAACTTCCTGTAAGAATTTGTAGCATGTATATTTATTTGATTTTAAAGTCGAAAAGAAATTACTTATATAAAAATATGTCGTAAAATCATATTTTTCAAATTCATAGAGATTTTGATTATATTTCAGCAACCTTGAGAGTGTGAAATGTGATTCTTTGGTATACCGTATATCCTAGCTAATTACGAGGGCTGTTCAATAATGTCCTGAGTTCCATAAGATACAATATAGAAAATATATGACATTTAGGTTGACTTTCTCTCATGATTGAATCTATAATGAATTTATTACAGTTAATGTGACCACTTTTCAGCTTTTCAACAAGGGCTATTCGAGACATTGCATTTAAAATGAATGGTAAAGAATCAGTAAACTAGAGTGAAATTAAACGCTACATGAAAGCTGCTGTAAAACTCGTTAAGAATCCCAAAGAAACATTCACGAAAAAAAAATCAAAGTACTGAGAGTACTGCTACGAGTTGATGGTATTGTTTGTATGTTGTTTAACATCCCTCTGGAGAATTTTTACTCATATGACTCTAACCCCACCACTTGCCAGTGTAGAGCTGCAAATTTTGCCTTATATTCGGCACTTTACGGCCATCGATCAGTGATGGATCTTTTTTCATGCCATCAACTACTGCGTCACAAAACCTCGATTTATACGGTCTCATCTAAAGGACAGATCGCCACGTCCCATAGTGGGATTTGAGCGCACAATGTATAGATCAACTACTTACTTCGCGACTCTAGAGCTGACGCTCTAACTACTGCGCCATACATGTACATGTTAAATGAGTTGAGGTCTCTGATCCATATTTGGGTTATGTGTGTTATGTGCTATGATGAAAAAATAAATAAAGCAGCTTTTCACACAAATTTTTCAAACTAAGAGGACCAACCTTCAACAATATTACAAGTAGGGAATTATAACTTTGAAAGAGCACAAATGAAAAAGATCATTAATTTGCACATCAAATATTTCACTATTTTCATAAATTGACAAATAATTTGACAATTTCAGTGCACATCAATATGTTTCATTTCTCGTGATTGATCCACTGTTAAATTCTAAATCCTGTATTTTCATTGATATGCATATTACAAAATTCAAAATTCTTGATTTTTTTTATTATGGTTATTGAAATTCAGCTCCACGTCATTCAAAATTTGCATGTATATTTGATATTTTCTTGATTTAGCCACTCTTGAAATTTAACTCCTTGACTTGAATGATCTTTGATATGCAAAATAAATACTCCAATTCTCCAGATTTAGCTGCTCTTAAAATTCAACTGATTTTAACTTTTAACTGAAATGAACATTTTAATTTTATGTTTTTTCGTTTGGTTTAGTCACTCTTGAAATATATCTACCTGACTTCAATTGATATGTACATGTAATATATTACATTTCTTTCAATTTAACTCTTGTAATTCATTTACATGACTTTCATTGATAAATTTATCACGATTAATATTTCAATTCCTTTTGGCTTTTTGTCTGAAGATTAAAAATTTATCACAATGACATGGTATATTAATCGTTTACATAATCTTTCTACTTTTGAATATACATGTATATTTGATTTTTCTGTCTCTTGATTCACATTTATAAAAACATTTCACATCTTATTTTTGAATACCACCCGATTTAATCTTTTTTTTTTTGTTATTATTTTTTACTGTCTATCAGCATCTGATAGTAAGACACAGCTGGATATAGTAAAGGGGTGTGTTCCCCGAATGGCTACTTGGAAAAAACAACAAGTAATTATCACACTCAATTAAGGGGCCCTCTAAGGGGTACAGGTAAACTTACCTGTGTTTACCTGGATAAGCAATATTTTAACAATCGGATATATTCATTCAATTTTATTTAAATTAAGAGGTTTTTTTTTTTATTTTAAATAAATTTTTTATTGTACCTTAAATTCTATTTTTTCCGAACTATTCAATAGTATTGATTGAGAATTTACAAATTATTATCCCTTTTTTGTGCTACATTTTCAAACTCTTTTAAATAAATAAACACAAATGATTTTTCCTTTAAATAATATAGATATTTCCAGAGTAGCGCCGACAATTAATGAGATAAGAATCACAGGCATGTTAAGTGACCTTTACTGTATATAAAACTTGGGGTGCGTTCAACAGCGTAGCTGCTACATAGCCGCTACGTAAAGCTACGCTCTTGAACGGAGAGCTAACCTAGCTGCTACGTATGGAGAGCTAGCATAAATATTTAATGCTGTGTCCCAAATCCAAGATGGTTTCCTTGGTTACAAATTCGCAGCATTCAAGATTTTTAGAAAAAGGAGAGTTATTTCCTATATTTAAGTGAGTCAAATGTAAATTTAAATACATATTTTCGCCTGAAATAAACTTTATTTAACCCAGTAATAAGTTTTTACTGATATATTTTTTATTCAAAATCTAACATTTAGCAGCTAGGTTAGCTGTCCGTTCAACAGAGATAGATATCTACTACTTAGCGGCTAGGTTAGCCGATACACTGTTGAACGCACCCCTGCTGTGATACAGATCTAAATTGTGGAAGACAGCTGGTTCTTTTATTGTTTTCACATGAAGTAATAACATTTACATAAAACTAGAGGTACTGTGAGCAATGGGCTCACTAAATGATACCCCCCGCCTCCCATATGAATAAAATGGCAGTGTCCATGTTTTGCTCTGGAAAATCCAAAATATATGTCAGATCAAAAAGTAAAATAGGAGGTGCACAATGGCAATATGTAATAAAGATTCTGTGAAAGTTTCATCAAATTTCATTGAGTGGTATGAGAGGAGTTGCGGATAAGAGATGGGTACCCCAAAGCGTAACGGACGGACGGACGGACAGACGGAAGGACGGACGGACAGACGGACGGACGGACAGACGTACAGACGGACGGAATTAACGATTACTATATACCCTCCCGCTTTTCAAGCGGGGGGTATAAAAATATTTTATCAACTGGTACAGCTCATTTCTTCCCTTTAAGATTAATATTTGATTTACTTCGACCATCTTTATTAGGTGTTTCTTGCTTTGTTTACAAACATTGGTAGTGTTGGTTATGTGTTAGGCACTTCATCACTAGTTATCGGGGGAAAATTGCTCTGTTCATTAGCATACTGGATCAGCGCAAGGATTAGTTTATTTATATACCACTAAGACGTCAGTCTTGTAAAAATAACCTGGTTTGTACAATATTTAATTTTGTAAATTTTCTTTCAAAATCTGATTTCAAGTTATTAATTACTGACTTATAATAGAAAAAATTTACTATTGACTTAAAAATCAAAACAAAATTCCAAAAAAATAAATAAAAAATATTCAAGTTTATAACACTTCAAAGCAAATCAGATAACATATTATTATTCCGTAGATCAAGAATATTGTAATTAAGCCAATATTATACAAGAACCTGTACGCAAAATACTCAATCGAAAATGTGATTAGTTTAGATACATTGGAAATCCCTTACCAGTAACATAACATGAGTTGATACCATCAACTCGTAAATACCATCAACTCGTAAAAATGATATAATGGGCGTCAAAAATGGGTTCCGTCCTTGGCGACAAAGACTTACAACAACCAATGTACTGTTTGCCAAAATCAACAATTATCGCTAATGATGTTTGATTGACTTTAAGACACATAGCAAAATTGACAAGCATTATTTGGGGGGCAGTTTACACTGTTTTAAATAAACATTTGACGGTAAAAAAGCTTAGTACTCAATGGTCACCCTATGTTTTGATAAAAAAGAGTGAAAACGACAGCGTGTAAGAATATCTCAACAATTATTTTTTAAAAAATCAAAAATTGAAGTTATCCACGTTTGTCTCTAATTAAAACAAATAGTGAAACTTGAATCCATTGCTCTTAACCCTCAAAACAAATTTACAATAAGATGCTCTTGACAAAAACAGCCAAGGTCTGAGAAGAGCAAAGAATTACAAAATCACAAAAACAGTTGTATACGCCATTTTATTAAATATTAGTGGTCTTGTTGTTCAAATCCTTATTCGGGGAGGCGGTTCAATTTCTAGAGAAGTCTAGAAAGCAATTTTTAGCAAAAAAAAAATCAAAAGGTTTTTGAGATGATAAAACCAGAATCAGAATCCACTAAATTAAATTTCTTCATGACAGCGTCCAAACCCACACTCCATAAAGGTAAAAGGGTTTAGGGGATAAACAGAATGTTAATGTTATGTCACACCAAAAATATTCGCCAGATCGTTCATCCTTTGACTTGTTTCATTTTCCAAACTTGAAAAACACCTTTCAGAAAGAAGAAACAAGTCAAGGAAATCATAGGATCTATGTTATTCCAGTATACGAAGGGCCATACTTAAAAATGTGGTCTAAAACAATCAGAAATTGGATGAAAATGTTACAGACATGAGCATGTTTAAGTGAAACCATTAAGGCTGAATCACTGAAAAGCTTTTCTTTTGGTTTTTTTTTTTTTCGAACACGGAGTCCTCGTATAAAATACATTTTCCACTTTTCCTAAAGTAAACAAAAATTCAAAAAATAATCCTAACCTTTTGGCCAATCAGACGATGGTAGATTTAACACATTACATAAAAAACAAAATCCTGATGGTGAATTAAATGTTTATTGATTAAGCAATCTAAAACATTTCCTATGTACATTATAAACATAAGTATTCAGAACCTCTTCCTCCATTTAGGCCAGAGCATTTCTCATATGGTGTGAAAATTTTCAGAAATTAATTTTGGTCTTAGGGGAAAGTTGGGTTTACAATTATCTTAGGAGGAAAATGTGCCTTTAATTATCTAGGAAGAAATTTAATTTAAAATTTTTTTAGAAAGAAATTGGATTTAAAATTCTTTTAGGAGGAAAATATGTTTATAATTCTCGCTTGATTTACAAAGATCTCGAGAAATACCTGAAACAATTGTTAAATCATTGCATTATTTTTCTTTAATTGGCAAAATTGAAGTTAACAGTAGTAAAAAAGATAAGAATTCAATTTTAAATAGGGTAAAATGATAAACGTGAATATATAAGAGTGAGTACAGATATAAAAGCACATTTTTTCACAAAAGTACTAACTTCAGACCTAGAGAAATATATAAATTTCAAAAAAACTTTGAGATAAAAAAATGTTCATCTGAAATAAAACGAACAGAATTAAGTTTAGTATTGTTTAGAGAGAATATTTACCAATTCCTGATTTTAAGAACCCATTCTTATTTCTCTATAAATTGCTTACTTCAATGGTGAATCCAAATGATCATTATTTAAAATTTATTGTATTTTTGCTTATAATACTGGTGATTAATTACTCCTACTATCTGATAAAAAAAGTTATTATTTACAAATTAGCTTCAAATTCCTTTCCTTCCGAATTTTTTAATTTTTTTTTTTCAAATTGTGTCCTTTAATTGTTTGACACTCTAATCAAAGAGAATACATGTTGCGATTTGTTTCGCTGCCGTAATAATGACATTTAATTCTTCCTAAACTCTTAATATGATATTATCGTTAAGTATGTTCTTTTTACGTAGTCTGATATCCAATGATATTGTTTTATACAGCAAAGGCAAAGGAAATTTTACACGCCACAGAAAATTACCAAGAGAAAAAAAAGTTGATCACGAAAATAGTCCTCTATTCTTCTGTTTAAAAATTGTGAAAAAGGTGTGAAATCTTAAGCATACCTCTGCGGAAAGGAACAAACACCAAAACCTTCCCGGGTAAACAAAACAGAAAACAACAAACGAAGAGAAAGGTGGTCCTCATATTGCGGAGGCAGGTTGTCAAATGGAGGAGGGCGTAACGCGAATAAAATAATTAACTCTCCCCTTTCAAACGAAAGCGAAACAGGAAGTAAAGTCTCTGGAATAATTTCGCTGTTATGAGAAAAAAGACTGAGCATGTCATATCCAGAATGATATATACACTATGTAGACAAACATGCTATAAGTCCCTTGTTTGAAACAGCAAATAATAATGGCAACTTCGTTGATAAGCCGGCTAAAAATTTAATATTCAGGAAAACGAAAGTAAGCATAAAATCTCAAACGCAATAAACCAAATTTTCTCAGCTTATGAAGTAATAAACTATTACTAGTTTGAAATCAAGATAACACTGAATTACTTATCATGTTTAGTAAAGCTATAATTTAGAATATCACGAGTATGTCGATTTTTCAAAATACTTTAATGTACTTCCGTGATTAAAAATTTTACTTCCGGTAAAGGGAGAAGTTATTAAAATCGCAATTTGAATAAAAATAAGAGAGATATATCTTTGCAATAAATATACAGGTATCTCTTTTCGCTTGAGGGATATATCTTTTGGACGCTTTTAAAAGATATCTATTTCACTTTGAGAGATATCTCTATAACCTGAAAGATGTCTACCAAAGTAAAAAGAGATCTATGTCAAGGAGAAAGAGATATCTGTTTAAGTGGAAGAGATATCTTTGTTACCAGAAAAGATATCTCACTAAGTGAAAGAAATATCTCTCTACGTTAAAGAGATATCTTTTTCCCATAGAGATATCTCTCAAAAATAAGAGATACTCTTTAAGTTGTGAGATATCTCTATTTTTTAAGAGACGTCTCTCTTAAATGAGAGATATCTCTGTGATTTGAAAATAAATTTTATTTTCCGAACAAAGAGCAAAAAGGCTTGTCATAAAAAGCTGACATTTTTTTTCTTTTTAATCTTCAGACAAATTTTGTCCTCCGGAAAGCTTCAATTAGTGCTATAAATATTCATAATAATCATTACATATTTACCAACATGTTCAGCATTTGCTGTACATAGATCTACTCTTACTGGTATAGTTAATTTACGTTATAGGTATGGATATTCGTATTTAAATATTTTTTCTAGTGAAAATTTCTTACCTCCCATGTCTATGGAAGAAGAAGGAGGCCACTCCGATCTTTGGGATGTTGACCATAAACTTCCTGTAAGAATTTGTAGGATGTATACTTATTTGATTTTAAAGTCGAAAAAAAAATTTCTTTTATCAAAATATGTCGTAAAATCATATTTTTCATCTTATATATTATTATATGTTATAGAAAATATTTTTAGTGAAAATTTCTTACCTCCAATGTCTATTGAAGAAGAAGGAGGCCACTCCGATCTTTGGGATGTTGGCCATAAACTTCCTGTAAGAACTTGTAGCATGTATATTTATTTGATTTTAAAGTCGAAAAGAAATTACTTATATTAAAATATGTCTTAAAATCATATTTTTCAAATTCAGAGAGATTTTGATTATATTTCAGCAACCTTGAGAGTGTGAAATGTGATTCTTTGCTATACCGTATATCCTAGCTAATTACGAGGGCTGTTCAATAATACCCTGAGTTCCATAAGATACAATATAGAAATCATATGACATTTAGGTTGACTTTCTCTCATTATTGAATCTTTAATGAATTTATTACAGTTAATGTGACCACTTTTCAGCTTTTCAACAAGGGCTATTCGAGACATTGCATTTAAAACAAGAGGCCCATGGGCCTTATAGGTCACCTGAGCATTATGCAACAACTTTCCAGTTATTGAATTTGATTTATGTTTTAAGCCAGATGCTATGGCATTCACAATTTTGAAAGAGGCACCATTGATCATCAGAACAATACACTTAGCAGTTGCTTAGTTTGTTTACTTAATACCAATATGCAGGGTAAGGGAACAAAAATGCATTTCAACTAATCAGTAATATTCAGCAATAATCAGTAGTGCCCCTACCACACATGAACCCCTGACCCTTAGGCCTTGATATTTGATTAATACCAAGGAGCAGATTTCAAACCATTCATTCATTTTCAGTATATAAGTACAGCCCCCCCCTTCTATGGTACCCCTGACCCTGGGGCCTTGAAATTCACAATTCTGGAAGATATGGGCCCTTGTCCAGCATAACTATATAGGTAGTTCATCTGCTTAATACCCTGGAGCAGAGAAGAAAATTTTCAAAGAATTCATGTATTTTCACTATATAATCAATAGAGCCCCGCCCTAACACCAGAACCCCTGACCCTGGGGCCATAAAATTCACAATTTTGGTAGAGGCACTCTTGCTCATCATAACTATGCACTTAGTTTATTTAATACCCAGGAGCAGAGAAGAAGATTTTCAGAGAATTCATGTATTTTCACTACATAATCTATAGAGTCCCGCCTTAACACTAGAACCCCTGACCCTGGGGCCATAAAATTCATAACTTTGGTAGAGGCACTCTTGCTCATCATAACTATGTACTTAATTGGTTTATTTAATACCCAGGAGCAGAGAAGAAGATTTTCAAAGAATTAATGTATTTTCACTATATAATCAATAGAGCCCCGCCCTAACACCAGAACCCCTGACCCTGGGGTCATAAAAATCACAATTTTGGTAGTGGCACTCTTGCTCATCATAACTATGCACTTAGTTAGTTTATTTGATACCCAGGAGCAGAGAATAAGATTTTCAAAGAATTAATGTATTTTCACTATATAATCAATACAGCCCCGCCCTAACACCAGAACCCCTGACCCTGGGGCCATAAAATTCACAATTTTGGTAGTGGCACTTTTGCTTATCATAACTATGTGCTTAGTTGGTTTATTTAATACCCAGGAGCAGAGAAGAAGATTTTCAAAGAAATAATGCATTTTCACTACCTACTTATTTAGCCCCGCCCTAGCACTAGAACCCCTGATCCCAGGGCCATGAATTTCACAATTTTGGTAGAGGACTCATTGCTGATTACAATCATGCAAACAGTTTGACTGCTTGATGTCCAGGAGTAAAGAAGAAGATTTTTAAAGATTGCATTAATTTTAGTGGTTTTGGCCCCACCCCTCAGGCCCCAGGGGGGCAGGGATCATAAAATTCACAATTTTTGTTCCCCTTCACCCATAGATGCTTTAGGCCAAATTTGGTTGAAATTAGTTCAGTGGTTGCAGAGAAGAAGCTGAAAATGTTCAAATGTTAACGCACGACGACGGACGAAAACAGATAGCATTAGGTCACCTGAGTTTACTCAGGTTACCTAATGAATGGTAAAGAATCAGTAAACTAGAGTGAAATCAAATGCTACATGAAAGCTGCTGTAAAACTCGTTAAGAATACCAAAGAACATTCACGAAAAAAGAAAATGATATAATGGGCCTCAAAAATGGGTACCGTCCTTGGCGACAAAGACTTACAACAACCAATGTACTGTTTGCCAAAATCAACAATTATCGCTAATGATGTTTGATTGACTTTAAGACACATAGCAAAATTGACAAGCATTATTTTGGGGGCAGTTTACACTGTTTTAAATAAACATTTGACGGTAAAAAAGCTTAGTACTCAATGGTCAAGCTATGTTTTGAAAAAAAAAGGTGAAAACGACAGCGTGTAAGAATATTTCAACAATTATTTTAAAAAAATCAAAAATTGAAGTTATCCACGTTTGTCTCTAATTAAAATAAATAGTGAAACTTGAATCCATTGCTCTTAACCCTCAAAACAAATTTACAATAAGATGCTCTTGACAAAAACAGCCAAGATCTGAGAAGAGCAAAGAATTACAAAATCACAAAAACAGTTGTATACGCCATTTTATTAAATATTAGTGGTCTTGTTGTTCAAATCCTTATTTGGGGAGGTGGTTCAATTTCTAGAGAAGTCTAGAAAGCAATTTTCAGCAAAAAAAAAAAAAAAAAAAAAATGAAAAGGCTTTTGAGATGATGAAAACCAGAATCAGAATCCACTACATTAAATTTCTTCATGACAGCGTCCAAACCCACACTCCATAAAGGTAAAAGAGTTTAGGGGATAAACAGAATGTTAATGTTATGTCACACCAAAAATATTCGCCAGATCGTTCATCCTTTGACTTGTTTCATTTTCCAAACTTGAAAAATACCTTTCAAGAAAGAAGAAACAAGTCAAGGAAATCATAGGATCTATGATATTCCGATATACGAAGGGCCATACTCAAAAATGTGGTCTAAAACAATCAGAAATTGGATAAAAATGTTACAGACATAAGCATATTTAAGTGAAACCATTAAGGCTAAATAATAGAAATGCTTTTTTTTTTCGAGCACGGAGGACATTATTAACAGTCCCCGTATAAAATACATTTTCCACTTTTCCTGAAGTAAACAAAAATTCAAACTAGAGGTACTGTGAGCAATGAGCTCACTAAATGATACCCCTCGCCTCCCATATGAATATAATGGCAGTGTCCATGTTTTGCTCTGGAAAATCCAAAATATATGTCAGATCATAAAGTAAAATAGGAGGTGCACAATGGCAATATGTAATGAAGATTCTGTGAAAGTTTCATTAAATTTCCTTCAGTGGTATGAGAGGAGTTGCGGATAAGAGATGGTTACCCCAAAGCGTAACAGACGGACGGACAGAAATACCGATTACTATATACCCTCCCACTTTTCAAGCGGGGGTATAATAATCCTTACCTGTTGGCCAATCAGACGATGGTAGATTTAACACATTACATAAAAAACAAAATCCTGATGGTGAATTAAATGTTTATTGATTAAGCAATCTAAAACATTTCCTATGTACATTATAAACATAAGTATTCAGAACCTCTTCCTCCATTTAGGCTAGAGCATTTCTCAAATGGTGTGAAAATTTTCAGAAATTAATTTTGGTCTTAGGGGAAGGTTGGGTTTACAATTATCTTAGGAGGAAAATGTGCCTTTAATTATGTAGGAAGAAATTTAATTTAAATTTTTTTTAGAAAGAAATTGGATTTAAAATTCTTTTCGGAGGAATATATGTTTATAATTCTCGCTTGATTTACAAAGATCTCGAGAAATATCTTAAATAATTGTTAAATCATTGCATTATTTTTCTTTAATAAGCAAAATTGAAGTTACAGTAGTAAAAAAGATAAGAATTCAATTTTAAATAGGGTAAAATGATAAACGTGAATATATAAGAGTGAGTACAGATATAAAAGCATATTTTTCATAAAAGTACTAACTTCAGACCTAGAGAAATATACATGTATAAATTTCAAATTAACTTTAAGATAAAAAAACGTTCATCTGAAATAAAACGAACAGAAATAAGTTTAGTATTGTTTAGAGAGAATATTTACCAATTCCTGATTTTAAGAAACCATTCTTATTTCTCTATAAATTGCTTACTTTAATGGTGAATCCAAATGATCATTATTTAAAATTTATTGTATTTTTGCTTATAATACTGGTGATTAATTACTCCTACTATCAGATAAAAAAAAGTTATTATTTACAAATTAGCTTCAAATTCCTTTCCTTCCTAATTTTAATTTTTTTTTCAATTATATTGTTTTATACAGCAGGGGCAAAGCAAATTTTATACGCCACAAAAAATTACCAAGAGAAAAAAAAATGTTTATCACGAAAATACATGCAGTCCTTTATGATTCTGATTAAAAATTGTTGAAAAGGTGTGAAATCGTAAGGCATACCTCTACGGAAAGGAACAAACACCAAAACCTTTCTGGGTAAACAAAACAGAAAACAACAAACGAAGAGAAAGGTGGTCCTCATATTGCGGAGGCAGGTTGTCAAATGTAGGAGGGCGTAACGGGGGACAATAAATATGTATCATGTCTAATCAAAATGCTAATTTCTTTGTAAAAATAACGCTGTCCAACTATATTTTATCTCCTTTGCTTAGAGCAAATATTTGAAAAGATTTTGCATAATTTATCTTTAATCAAGGATTCATTTAAATAATTTTTATCAAATTTGAATAAAATACCTGCATCAAATTACAGACTCAAAAAATAGAAAGTCCTTGTAATTGTGTTTACTTCAATAATGAATGGTAAAAAGGTGTACAATCAATCACTGTATTTTTAAAAAATAAGAACTTTTCAGTGCATTCCTTTCACCGTGTGTTAAATACATACATTTCTTTTCGTTGACTGACACAATAAATTGCGCATTTGATCTCAATTCTTCCTAATTTGCAACTAAAGTAAAAGGCAAATGGCTATAGAAGCAAAGACCTGAAACACCATATGTAAAATCTCCGGAAATCACCGTTTTAATTCTTAAAAGGAGAGCAGTTATGCTTTCTCGGGGAACGTTCCCCTCCATTCCACAGGGCCGTAACTAGGGGTAAAAGATAGAGGAGGCGGGGGTTTGGGGGCCGCCGATCGAAGCCCCAAAGATGGGGGGGGGGTGCGAAGCCCCCCGCAAAAAAATTGCTTCAAACGGCTCAATTTTGGACCATTTCCTTGATTTTGAGAATGCTTACCACTTTATTATATTACCTATTTGTCTACCCTTTGTTCCCCTTGCCTGTCGTAAAAGGCAACTGAATGGGGACTGTGTGTCGTAAGGGGCGACTGAATGAAGACTGTGTGTCGTAAGGGGCGACTGAATGGGGAGTGTGTGTCGTAAAATGCGACTGAATGGGGACCCGTAATGATCTGAGTTACTTAGAGTAGGTCCTCATCGTCCCTTGCGTGTTGTAAGATTGTTTATAATTTTAAGTCCCGCTCAAGAATATTTCACTTATATGGCGTATTGTAAGAAGCAACTGAATGGGACAGTCCCTCGGATGAGACGGAAAAAACCGAGGTCCTGTGTCACAGCAGGTGTGTCACGATAAAGATCCCTTTCTGCTCCAAGGCCCTGAACGCCGAGCATAGGTAATGGTGACACTCACTGGATAGCTGAAAAATTGCTCAGGTGGCTATAATCAAACAAATAAATGATCAATCTTGATCCAGCTGCTTGTGTTGTGTTTCTTATTCCCAAAAAAAATGAAAATCTAGAGGTGGCAATTGCCTCCGTTGCCTCAATGGTAGTTACGGCCCTGTTCCAGCTTTTTTTTTTTTTTGGTGACAAGAACAAAAAAAAAAAAAAAATACATCTCACTTCAAACTTTGTTGATCAAAAATATTAATAATAAAATAAAACATACCGTGCTTTTTAAGTCAAGATCTAGTAAATGAGGTGCTAAAACATTCATTATGACGTCAAAATTGATTTTAAACTTAAAGTTATTAAAAGTAACCCTGATACCTACATTTAATTTAATATAATTTTAAAGTAGAGGTCATGAAGATAGTAAAAACAATTTTTTCAGAGACTGCGGGTATTATCAATACAATTCATTTTTCTGAGATGGAAAAAAAATTCCTAAATTGAAACCTTTCTTCATTTTTCATTGAAAATGACCATTTAAAGTATATTTTTCATCGAATTAAAAAAATTATACAATTTATATTTTATAATAATCATTATTATTAAAGTATGTGGAACCATTTATTTATTTAAAAAGGTAAAAAGCGCCCTGCCCCTGTGTTCTTTTACTACATCTTTATGAAATGTGTGGAGATAACGAACAGGATTTGAGTTCATAAGTCCATTAAGCATTACAAAAAGAATAGGAGCGGAGCAAACATGGACCTCCAAAACATCGGAGGTTGGATCAGCTGCCATGGAGGAGTGAGCATCACCTGTCATGATAGGAAAATAACGAAAAAAAAAAAATCCGTGAACAAATCAGTGTGTAAATAATGGCCTAACAATTAGTATGAAAAAGTCAGTCAGCATTTGACTTCATGATAAATAGTATTTACTGACGAGGTCATTGTATCGATCATAGAACTTGCGAATTAATGACTTTAAACGAGACTTCTGAAATTCTTGCTTCATCAACTTTTTTTTTCAATAACTTACCTCGTTATAGAAATTGTTCATATGTGGAACATGCTCTTCGGTTTAGAATCAACTGAGAGATATAATCTCCATATAAAGGTGACAAAGGTATATTGCTGCACATGTAAGGGAAGTTGACGATTGAAAAGTTAAAGCCATCACGTTTATCATAAAGATTTGTCGTTAGGTAACCATTAACGACTTTGTCTAGATAAAGGTCTAAATTTAAAACAGATGTACCAGACTATGTGGTATTTTTATTTCAAGCTTACCGGGATAAATTGTATCGACATAAAAATGGAAATAACGATTGATAATTGACAATACTCGTCGATATATATCTAAATGAAGAGTTGAAGACCATAGCAGGTGTTTTTTTTCTTTCCATGTAAATTCTGCTTCACATGAATACAAAAAAAATAGGTCTGCTAATAGTGGGGTGCAATTGGTACCCAAGGGAATTCCAACAGAATGTTGGAAGACCTGGTCTCCAAAAATCGCATAGCTATTGTCAATCAGAAACTCAAGCATCTTTATGTATGAATTTCAGAGTACTTGTGTGTACGATCAGAATGTGTCAGACTGTAAATCTTTAATTTCAAGCTCACAGGGATATATTGTATCGACATAAAAATGGAAATCTTCTTTTCAAGTATATGATTATGGACAAAATCTGCATCACATGAATACAAAAATAGTGCGCAAATGGAGTATTCCAATAGACTGTTGAAAAGCTGGTCTACAAAAACAACATAGATACTATCAATCAGAAACTCAAGCATCTTTTAAATATCAAATTCAGAGTACTCGTATGTACTATGTCGTCGATATATCTAAATGTCGAGTTGAAAGCTACAGCAAGTGTTTTCTTCTTTTCACGTATAAGATTTTGCATAAATTCTGCTTCATATGAATACAAAAAAAGTCTGTTAATCACGGGGCGCATATTGGTATCCATGGGAATTCCATTAGATTGTTGGAAAACCTGGTCTCCAAAAAACGACAAAGATATTGTCAATAAGAAACTCAAGCATCTTTTTGACGTCAACTTCAGAGCTTTTGTGTGTACAATCAGAATGTTTTTTTAACTAAATAATTTTGAAAATGACCAATGACAAGGTAAGAAAATTTACGAGTTCCATTTTTATTGAAAAAGCAGCTGTCAATGTTATCGAAAAAGCCTGGACTTTAATTTATCATAGGGAATGGTAGTGTATAAAGTTGAAAAGTGGTAAGTTTTTAAGCTTTTGATTTTGGTGTAATCTTGTGATTTCAAATTGTCCAAAAGTTCCTTGGAATTTTTAAGTATCCACATCTGATTTACACCACTTCTTGAATATATTGTTGCACAGTACTCTTGAAATTTCTCCTTCACTACTGTTAATATCTTAGTGAGAAGTAAAAAAGAGACTTGGGTTGAACATTTACTGGAACCTGTTATGTATCTTTGTTTGCAAAAATTCTTATAAAGTTTTGGAATCCAATATATATATGGTAGTTCAAATTCATTTTGGTTCCTTGAAATATTAAAATATTCAAAACTGACACATGATTTTGAAGAATTTCTTCCTTAGAAAGGGAACTATGAGTAAAGGATGGATTTAATCCAAGTTCTTCTAAAATGCAATTTATATAATGAGTCTTACAAACGAAGACAATGTTGTTACCTGCTTTGTTAGCAGGGATCAGTACGTACTGATAACGTAATCTATCCAATTCTTTTTTCACTTCTGGATTATTGAATACAGAAGGATAGATGGTTTTCATATTGCCGCTCAATCTTTTAATACGTGCTTATAACATGGATCTGATACATTTAATCCATTCTGACAAAGTTTCAACGTCTTCTTTTTCATATCTGGCCCATCGTCTGGCGTAATCTTCAACAGAATCCATAATATTTATGAAATTCCGACGCCAGTTGAAGGATCGGGGTTCCCAGTATTTAGGACCTTTTAGAATTATCATTTACATGACATAGGGAAAAGCTGTCCTTAGTTTTCTAATCCAAAATTCTTTTCGTTGTCTACGGAAAGGTGTACTCAGTGATGGACTGTTTTGTGGTGATAAATCATTTCGAGAATTCCAACTTTCATTGACAAAATAGAATGGTCAGGTAAAGTAAAATGTTTGTATAAAAGCTGCTGACCCTCATGATTTATTAGAAATCGATGACCTGATATTCTGTTAATAAGTGATCCCTTGGTATCACCAACATAAACAAGTCCACACAGATTACATTCTATTCTCTCGACAACATTAGAAGATTTGCAGTTCAGATTTTACCAAGTTTTGGTATTAAAGCTCTGTCCAGTAAGATTACTGGTGAAAGAAGTGTTTGTTATCAAAATGTCACATGTTTAAGCTTTTCACAAAGATTTTGAAACAGAATACTAGCAATTGGGATCGGAAAAACAATTTCCAAATATATTTGTAATAGTTCAGAATAAATCAAGTTTTCAGATATTAGTACACTCAAATGCCATCATCCCCTCCTCTTTTTAAAGCAGCTCAGATAATTCATGTTAATAACCGATCGATGTGGTTATCGTTTCTGTAACAGTATCAAGAATAAATTTATCAATTTTTAGTAGACATTTTTGTTTGTTCTTTAATCTATATTTTGATTTTATAAATAATATTTTTTCCAGATGTAAATAAAATATAATATATGCAAAAAAATATGCAGTACTTTATAACATGGTCACGCGAGTTTTACCGATTAGAAGGGCCATTTGATATTAAATTCAAGTCTTTGGAGGGATCTCTCTACCAGGGAAACAGGATATACTTAAACTGATTATGATAAATTAACAACGATCCATCTTAATTACTGATAAAGAATGAAACATAAAATCTAAGTTAATTAGACCTTTTGAAGGTTGTTCTAGTAAGTTTATTTGTATCGCAGCACAGTATTCTGTG